ATCCAGGTGGTTACTCTCCTGTAATCCAAGACTTACGCCCTTTACCATCTTGAGGTGCAATTTAAAATATTTGAAAATTGAATATAAAACAATAATATGTAATATAAAAAACAAAATATTTCGATAATATAACTGAGACAAAAGATAACATGGTATATTTAAAATTAATTACAAACTAATCTTTGTGAAAAAAAGTTGTTAGAAATTCGTTATTCATCACTATCAATATTTTTGATTCATTTTATTTTTTTATAGAATTAGTTATATAAATCTTTTTTATATTGTATTGGATTTTACATTATGTTCCGTATACTAAAAGTTTTTATCTTTATCATCTAATCCTCTTAGGTCAGATATCGCAGTAAAACTATTTTTTCTTCCCTAAATTTCCTAATTTTATATATTTAACAATATAATATTTTAATAAATATAAACCGTTATTACTTTTTATAATATTATTCGTTTATAACATATAAAACATGTGTCTTATAAATGAGATACAATCAACACATCCTACACTGACATAAAGTTTATTCATAATAAACAATTATAAAAATTATATATATATCCATGTTAGATTTTTCTTTATTATACTAATCTTTTTAACTAAATTTTATTCAAAAATATTATTCTATTATCTATATTTTTCTGAACAAATATATAAAACATATCTCATCATTATTCTTAGACTTGTATTTATAATATATAGTTGATGATAAAGATGGTGTTTCGACTGTAGGTATTTAAGAATATTAAAACACATCGAGTTACAAATCCACACAAACAATGTACTCTTAGACTATATTATCACCCATAAAAAAAAATTTTATATAAATAAGATGTTATTAATAAGAATTCATTGTAGTGCATATACATGATTCGCTCTACATGCCTACATATGGCAAATGTCACTACAACACTTTTTTACAGTTTGAACCGACGACTCCGCGGGAAACTGAAAATCTACAAATCTTATCACGCGAATCTGGTATTTATAAATATGCAATATCGGTTTAATCTGAGAAAAGATTTTTGTATAATATTATTTCAACGAACCATGTGTATTTGTGTCTCCCGATCAATTTTTAATGTAAAGAAAATATACTTTAACTATTGGCTATTTCATTCGCAATATAATAAATATAAATTCATAGTGAACTTATAATTAACCACGTCTTATTTATTCTTAACCACAATATTATTATATGCCATTAAATTGTATAATATATTAACTATTTTTATAATCCCAGATCTATCCTTAAAACACATTTAAGTCATGGCTAAAAGCCTCAATTTTCGCTTATAGTTGAATTTACTAAATAATAAAATTATTAAATTAACCTACAAAAATATGTATTTATTATGTGAAAACATAATAATTTACTACTATTTGTTAATAAAAAAACTCCTTAATTTTTACAAGTTTAATTTTATTGAAATTAAATTACTTTAAAATAGAATATATATTTTTATATTCTGTATGTATTACAGTATACTGACTTAATTTTTATTGGACTAAAATATTTTTTTATAATATTTAAAACTTATTGTAATTATCGAATATTCACTCACGATTAATAGATATCGAAGTTTTTATACATAATGTATTATAGTATATTATTGTAGATTCTTAACTAATGTTTGGTAAAAAAATAGATAAATGAGTGTCGATCTGTTGTACATTAAATTTCGAGTTAGTTACTATCATAGGTCTGTTAATTTTGATTTAAATGTAATATCATTGTACATTAAAAATAATTCTAAAGGGAGATGATCTGTAAGCTTATATTAATTAGTATATTTTATGATATAGTTTTTAAATTCATTTATTTATTTTATTTTTTTTTTTTTTTTAATGCAACGGTAAGTTTAAATAGCTTTTTATTGAATTTATTATATTATTATAATGATATAAATGTATAATACATTATCAATCTATTTAACTCAAAAGTTAATTACATGTTTATATTAATACCGTAAAATAGTAAAAATAAATTCATAGTACCTATAAACAAATAATATCCTAAAATAAATCAAAAATTTCTTTGTATACAATAAAATTAATAGTAATATACTCGTAATATACGTTAAAGTTTTAAGCCCATGTACAAATATTTTTTAATTTATAACAAAATAAGTAATAACTATCTAAAACTATTATTTTCAGTTAAAATACGCTATTTCGTACAAATTTAAACTTTATATGTTAATAGAAAATAATTGTCTTTATATATTTTTTTAGATTTTATGGTTTCCGTATAAATTAACTATGAAAAATCTTGTGTTAAATTTTCAAAACTTTGATATGAAAAGACAATTTTTTGATATCTTTCAAACAACAAAAAAAACTTATATTTTTTTTGCAATTTTAACAAATTTGGCTAACTTTAAATGCATACATAAAAAATTTAAAAAATATTATTCCAATAGGTTTTTAATATTTTTTTTTTTTTACAAATATAAGAATAACTTATATAAAATATTGTCAAAAATATTTTAATTTTCAAAAATGTTTACTCAGTGAATATTAATTTGTCAATACTTAAAAAAAAAAAATTAAAATTTGAAATATCTATAAATAGCTTAAAAAATATAGATTTATATAGACAATGATAATATAAAGACTTAATAGAAATTTCAAGTTTTTATGTTCATTCGCTATTGAATTATAGTAAAATAAAAAAATCAATTTAATCAAAATCTGATTTAGCATCAAAATTCCCGTTTTTCTTTAATTTTATGTTAGTTTTAGCAGATTATATAAAAAAAGTTCATAGAATTTTAAATTTTGACATTTTTAAAGTACAAACTATATCTAATTTTCAATAAAAATAAAAAACTACACTTGAAACATTTTATCTACAACTCATCGTGTATTCTAATAAACAATAGTACAGAATTTTATATTATTAGTTAATACAATAAGCATTTTATTATTATTTATTATATAGCTAAAAACTTATAATATTTCGCCATAGTTAATATCGTCGTTTGTATTTTTATTCTTTATTTTTGCAAATACGTAATTACTAACGTAAAAATAAAATATTATTGCAGTAAATCGAATAAAACAATCGTAAGTACCCTAAATGTTTGTGAGATTAAAAGATAATAATATAAGTATAGTACAGTAACACATACAGTTTATTCTTTACTCTGGACAATTGTATATCGAAAATAGTATAGGTACACGTATCTCGATTTATTTTCGGCCAATGGGTTTTGTATAAAAAATAAATTACTTCCCGATGCTCTTAAATAGAAAACCTACTGAGGATTAATTATTTTCGTATTTAGAAAATACACATATAACATTTATTCGTGTGTGTATCTATACAAATATATATATTTATATAAATGTAAAAATGGAAAACTTTATCATGCATGTCTCTTAAACTACTCATCCGATTATCTTGTTTTTTCTTCAATGAAAATGAAAATCGTGGATCAGATTTTAAATCTAATTCTGATTCTATAAATTAATGAAAAATTTAGTTAAGTATTAATTTTTAAACAATCGGTAAGTACACATAAATTTATTTTTTTTTTTTTTTCATCCGTGTTAATAATTATTAGTTATTACTTATTACTATAAATTTGTATTTTAGTGAATAGTAGTTGATGTATACAATAATGAAAAACGTTTTCGTTGTTTTTGGCTTACACAATCGTAACTTTTCACTCTGTTTAAGCTTAACGAATTGTAAGTTTTTAGTTCAAAATGAAAAGGTATTCAAATTTTGATCATTCAGTAAAAAAAAAAAAAACAGAAAAAGAATTTAAAAAAAAAAATGCTGCTATTAAATTGTCAAAAAAGAGCAACGTTGAGCGAGACAGATATATAAAGGTTAATAAATAATAAGCAATAAATATAATTTATACACTAAATCAGAAAATCAAAAATATTATTTATTCGCTTGCGTTACGCTAAATTTTGGCATTAAACAACCAAATTTAACAAAAATATATTTTATATGGCAACAGAATGCACGGAGATAGCTAGTATATTATTATACACATATATTTTATGAGTATATAGTGCTAGATTTGTTTTTAAGTCTCATGTAGCCCCATACACCTATAACGAGCAGTGGCATATAAAGCTTAAGTAAACACCGTCAATGCACAGATCGTAGAAAATGACTGTATTAGAGGTCGGTTGGATTACGTTATCGCTTTACTGAATATTTAGCTTTTCTATTCGGTATTATTTTTAATTCCATTTTAATTCTTGTGTGTATAGTGGTACTTTCCACGTACGAAATAGTCATACTTCAGGCAAACAACGTTGATATTAAAATGTAAATGCTCGAATTTGTAAATTATTATTATACACCACGAATGATTGTATTATTCTGCACCAGACAATATTTAAAGAAATATTTGACATTTTTAAGTTAAAAATTTTATTTTTTAAAAGTTGACAGTATTTTTTCAAAAAATACAATTTCTTAATTGTTTTAAATATTCTGCAGTCTAAGGAAATAGTTGACTTTATAATTTATATATTTATAAGGCCGATGAAAGATTTCAAAATAAAGTGACGTATTTATTTTAAGAATATTTACATTAAGTTGTAATAGTCATACATTTATTTTAAATAATGTAATAAAATATACATTGATTAGCTGTTATTAATAAAAATACATGAAATTCCATTTGTTTAACAATTGAATGTGTTTTGTATAATCACTAATCACTATTTGTAAATAAAAACTATGGGAATCCTCAAAACAATCTAATTGTAACTATATTTTCAGACATTGAAAAAAAAAAAATTAAATTTGTATGTATGTATCTATGTATCACTAAAAAAATTAATTTATCAAATCAAAAATTGATAAGCTATATTAAAAAGGTTAATTTAAGTGCACAATTATATTAAAAATACGAATATGCAACCATATTTAGAATAGAAAAATATTCTAAAATATAAATTATTAATAAGTAAAATCAATAAATGTATAACAATTTATATTGTCAAAATCACTTACTTATCGGCTATCATTAGTTATTTTTTTAAATGTTAGCCAAATTCCATTTTCTGGCACTGTAATCAAAGCCTTTTTACTGAATCGTATGGGAATTTCAGTTTTTTCACATGGTTCTACTTCAAATTTAGTTAGAATTTCAACCAAAGCTAATTTCATTTCCAACTCAGCGAAACGTTTCCCTATTGAAATAAATACACATTTGTTATATCCAATAAAATATAGATATTTTACATGATTATTTCAATAATATACCTATACAAATTCGAGGTCCGTCGCCAAATGGAAGATAAGTACCACTTATACGTTTAGCTTTTTCTTCAGGTGAAAATCTTTCTGGATCAAATACTTCAGGATCCGTATAATACTTTGGATCGTAATGCAGTGAATAAATAGGAATTATAACTTTTTGACCCTTTTCAATAGTTAATGAATCGTTTGGTACGTGATATGTTTGTAATGCTTTTCTAAATAAAGCAAAGGTCGGCGGATACTTACGGAGTGTTTCTAAAAAGTTAAATATTTTTATACTTAAATTTTCATAATTCAATTTTTGTATTAAGAAAAAAACAATTAATAGGTAAAAATGACCAAATTAAAATAGTCTTAAAAATGAAAACAGGATCTATATTTTCAGTTTAGTTTTGAAATTGAGGACTTCACTAATCTCGATATAATATGTGTTAATATATTTTTTATACTATGATAAATCATTAAATTAAAAATATCTCAGTGTGCTATAATTTTTAATTTATGTGCAACAAATTATTTAATAATAATCTATTAAAATCGATCTCATAATATTATTTTTTTTTTTTAACTTATATTTTTTATGCATACAATCTATAAATAAGTTTTACAGTAAGCATGTTTGAGGATTTACATTATTGGCATTATTGACATGATGAAGTAATCACCCAGCGGTAAAACTTATTGGCTAGAGAGCTCATAATATTATAATTGAAAAAATAAAAGTACTCAAAACTACTTATTCTGATAAAAAAAAATTTAAAAACTGTCTAACAATAAAAATTAAAATATATGTTACAACATATTTAAATCAAAAGTAAAAATATAAGCAATTATGTATTTAATTATAATTAAAATGTTTATAACACAATTAAATTATTAGTGTTAAGTAAATAATACAATGTGTCCTATTTTCCAATAAACTGAATGAAATCACGAAAAACTTTTTGAACTGACCACAACCACAAAATGTCAAAACAAGAATATATTATTGTAATATCAATACCTTTTCTATTGATTCGGGTAAATAATAAAAGTAATGCATTTTTGAATAACTACCTGCTAAAATCATATCTAAGTAATTTAGTTCCAACAACAAATCGTTATTAACCAGTCCGTTATTTTTCGATAATTTCAAATTAATTTCTTCGCGTAATTTGTCTTGGATATGCTTCTTCAACGCTAGCTCATATAAACAAAAACTCATAGCAGTAGATACGGTTTCAAATCCAGCAGCAAACATAACAAATGCATTGGCAACAATTTGTGACTCTAAAAATCTTTCTAATAAAAAATAAAATTAAATCCATATAAATTATTTATTTGTTTATAAATTTTCAAAACAACACGTTTACCTCCTTGAGGTATATTTTTATTCAAAACTAAATCGTTTCTTGCTTGTATCAAGGTTTGAACAAAATCGTTTCTGACTATGTTGTTTTTTTCCCTGTATGTTAGCGTTTCGTGAAATGCTGAATGGAAAAACTCAGTTGCGTCCGCTGGGAAATCCTTAATCTTTAGGATATTCAAAAGAGTAGGACTTATCATCAAACTCAATTCCCTTAAATGTACTCTGAGTGATGGAGCAAATATAGTCTTCCCGTATTTCCGAAATGTAGAATTATCATCGTTTACGGCATTTAATTTTAAACCAAAAATACAAGTGCCGATGACGTCGGTTGAATATTTTCCCAAAATATCTCGCACTTCAATTGCATTTTCAGTTTTCATAAAATTTTTATGGATATTTCTCATTAGTCCATCACCACATTCTTTGATTTGATCGTACATTTGCTTGAGTTTGCCTGAAGTGAACGCTGGACTCAATACTTTCCTGATTAATTTCCATTGGGGATTTTCCATAAAAAATAGATGGTTCGACAGGGGATTCGCTGAGAAATCAGAGTAAATACCACGATTAGGGAAATTTGAGAAGTCTTTGATAAGCACATTGTTTATTATTTCCGGGTCGCGGATCATCAAATACGGGGTTCGCATCTGAAATAATCCTCCGTATTTGTGACCAGCCAGCTCATAATAAATTTTCCTATAAAAATCTATGGGGTGTTGCATTCCAAAAGCTACATAGAAGAAGTTACCAAATAGTGGAATTGGTCGAACATAAGATACATTGATCTTATCCCATTTACTAAATGTCGAAGTACAAAAATAATAAAAAATTGTAAAAATTAATAGACATAGCGTTATAATACTTATCCACCAAATGGAAGTGGACGCAAACATTATAAGAAAAACACAAAATACAACTAACTCAATACACACGAAAGTTAAAACTGTAATAGAATAAACTATTTTCATTTATTATAAAGTGAATAAAACATTAGTTGTCCTTGAATTTACTGTTGGTTTTAGTGGGGTTTAAATACAAAAATAAAAAATTATAGGTAAAGCGTGTTATTTATCATAATTAAAATGTTGGAAAATAATTACATTTATGTTTGTTTACTTAAAATAATTGTTTTAATTAATAGATATTATGAAATTATCAGTTATAACCTTGTAAAGTATTAAATTCAATCAATATTCTTTCATAAATAATTTCAGGGTTAACACAAATTTAAAACTATTTAATAAGTGGCTTGGTGTGGCGTGTTGGCTGATGTCAGTCGTGGAATGCGACTGGGAGTAAGTAACGGCCACAGCTACTAGTTCCCGGATGGGTGACCAACCCGGGCTCGTAGTGGTTAAAAACCTAGCCACACATACACGAGTTTGCTATCAATCGTAACAACCATAACAATCGTAAAAACAACCTACCTGTATCAACCTTACCTCTACCCACAATTCATAACCCCTACAACAACTAATGGCCCTAGTCACCGGGCTTTTGTTCAATAAAAAAAAAAAAAACTATTTAATATATTTTAATTCATTGTATGTTTAAAATTACACTGAAGATAATATAATTAATTGCATTTGTTTTTTTACCATATAAACTGTATAATGATTACTTTCCTTTTCTTTTAAAAAATTATTCAGCAATAATCAATAATATAAATAAAATGTTTTCACTTACATATTATAAACTATTTGAAATACGACACATATTCGTAGAACGTGGATCGATATTAATATCACATTGTTTATAACAATATTAAACAAATTATATTTACTCTAACTATATGCAAATACGTAATACAGTGTGATCACGATAAGTGGAAACACTCAATAACTATGTGCAGGCTTCATATATTTCAATTCTGCTTTTTCGGCTAACTAATAAACATTATTATACACATTTTCAAATAATTAGACTATTTTTTTGATAACTAATTTTGCGCATGCGCACAATAACTTTTTTTTTTTTTTAATGGCATGATCCATTTTTGACCACAAATTATTTTTTTTGGTATTTTTTAATGAATTTTAGTGGTTGAATTTCTTTTCTAAGTCAAAAATTGACCGAGTTATAGCAATTTGCTTTTATGTTATTTGCACGGGTATGAAATACGTAGTTGATAATAATAAATACGTAAATAATAAAAATAAAAATAACTTATCCAATTTATGAAATACCTGTCTGCCTATTGTGTTTATCTTTATTAATTTTATCTCAGTAAATGCATTATAATAAATTATAATGTATAAATAATGTCACACGGGCATAGGTACCAGTAATGGTTCAAATTAAGACATTTTTCACAGTCGATTATTCTGCAGTAAGTGCCAGTAACTAATAGGAAATAAAAATTGATATTTTGTAGTTTTAAACCAAATTTAATACTTATCTATTAGTTATTATGAATAATAATTCAGAAAAAGTTGACATGCTTTTTACATATTGGGAATGCCAAAAAAATACACGTCTTCCCAAAGAAACCTATGCTCTTCGTTATCCAAGTAACTACTCGTATGATTTAACAATAAATTTAATTTTCTCTGCTTAATTTCTCATAAAATAAATGCTCTTTCTTATTTATAAATTCAGATAGGCAGCATCCATCACATACTTTTTTTTATAAACTGGAAAAAAATTTGAGAGACACCGGTTCTTTTTCCAAACGAGTTATTAACCAACAACCAAGACGAGGAAATGCTATTGGAGAAGATATTGAGGTGCAAATACTAGCTTACGTGAGAGCAAATCCTAAGACTTCTATTCGCCATGTTAGTAGAGAAATAAATATTTCATTTGGAGTTGTTCAAAAAATTTTGAATAAACATAAAATGCACGCTTATTGTGCCGATTTAGTTCAACATTTACGTGAAGGTGACGCCGAACGTAGAATTACGTTCATTGCTTGGTTGGAAACACAGTTAAACGAAAATCCTTATGTTTTAAATTACATTCTTTGGACAGACGAATCAAAGTTTACAAATAATGGAGTTTTAAATAAACAGAATCATCGCTATTGGGATGACCAAAATCCTCATTGGACATTTGACACCAACAATCATAAAGTGTGTGGGGAACGAGTGTATGGTATGGTTTAATAAATGGTAAACTATTAGGGCCATACTTCTACGATGGCACTCTTAATGGAAGACGATATCATGAATTCTTACTAAATGAGCTCCCTAATATGTTAGATGACCTTCCACTAGACATAAGAGCAAATTTAATATTCCAACAAGACGGAGCTCCAGCTCATAATGCAAATATTGTTCGCAATCAGCTCAATGAATATTTTCCAAATCGGTGGATAGGGACTTATGGAGCAGTTCAGTGGCCACCAAGGTCACCAGATCTTACACCACTAGATTACTTCCTATGGGGTCACTTGAAAACGGTAGTGTATGCCAATCCACCTACGTGTCTTCTTGAGTTGAAAAATAAAATACTTGCTGCATGTAATCAAATTATAGAGGAACAAATTATTTCTGCTATTAACAGAGAATTTTTAATTCATGTTGAATGTTGTTTACAGCACTATGGTGCACAGTTTGAACAATTTGTTAGATAAATAAAACTTTTATAAATAAAAAAATCAATATTTGTAATTTTATTTTTATTATTTACGTATTTATTATTATCAACTATGTATTTCATACCCGTGCAAATAACATAAAAGCAAATTGCTATAACTCGGTCAATTTTTGACTTAGAAAAGAAATTCAACCACTAAAATTCATTAAAAAATACCAAAAAAAATAATTTGTGGTCAAAAATGGATCATGCCATTAAAAAAAAAAAAAAGTTATTGTGCGCATGCGCAAAATTAGTTATCAAAAAAATAGTCTAATTATTTGAAAATGTGTATAATAATGTTTATTAGTTAGCCGAAAAAGCAGAATTGAAATATATGAAGCCTGCACATAGTTATTGAGTGTTTCCACTTATCGTGATCACACTGTATACTGTAATTTTATATAATATTATGTATAATTAATGAAAACTAACTAGCAATTCTACAACAATTATATTGTATAAAGACTCTAAAATATTGTAAACAAGTTCGCGTGACTGTTATTATTTAATTACGTCGATCAGTCGAATGAAAAGAAAAATCATATTATTATAGTTTTAAAATCCAAAAACCCATGACATTATTTATATATATATAATTTCATTACATATTACTGGTAGTAGCTTATAACACGATATATCTATACATATATTCACATACTTTAATATATAGGTACGATTTTGTATGTGTTTGTTATTACTTGTTACGTATCTAAACATCTTACATTACTATTAAAAAAAATTTTAAAAATAAGTTAAAAATAAATGATATTCTATATATTCATTAAGAACCTAATATTTAAACATGCGATTTTTGAAGTTATAAGTGATTTTTAAAAGTGTAATCTAATTTTACGTTACATAGGTACAATAAAAAGATACATAATATATCCACGCAGAGAAATTAAATAGTATTACATAATAATAATAGGTACTATGTTCAGTTATATTTATAATTTTCTTATTCTTATATATTTACTGTTTCTTTATTTACTCTCAAATATGTATAGCAAACTGTTTATAGTTATAATATAACAAACAACTGTTTAAGTTGATCAAATAAATCACAAAGTAATATTCAACGTCAAGTTGAATTCATATTGTTAGCATTTTTAAATAATTTCATTATATGTTGAATCCGAATTACAAATAGTATTTTTTTTTTAAATAAGTAATTTAGTTAATACATTTTTGTATTTATTATTTTCAATTACATGAGAAGTACAATCACTCGTCTATCATATTATCTGCACACGAAATCTGTTTTGAAACCTGTAAAATGTAAGTCTTAACATACTTACAGAAGGTTATATTATTTTATCCGTATATACTTAGTAATAAATTATACAGTTACGTGAAAATAATATCAAAATAAAGTCAGAATATTATTCAACATGTATAAAAGATATTAAATGAGTTTCAAATTTAAATTTTCAAGTTTTGTGGCAAACTTATACAACGCGTTTAATTATCGTTGTTCCTTGTTCACAATAATAGTAAGGATGTGCTGTAATTGGTAACATGGTCTTATTAACTCATTTTTGGTGTAATCATCATAATTTGAACCATATAAATAGTTTTTGTTTTTTAATTTTTCAACTAAAATGTACGATTTAGCTATTGAAATAAGTATTATACTCTTTTCATTATTGGCATGATGTCTACGTATAAATAATTAGAGACTGCGTAGAGATTGCATAAATAATTTTAGTGAGCCAAATAAAACTAAGGTAGGGAACGGATTTATTTGTAATAAAAGTACAAAAATATATACATAAATATAGAAGTATAATTTATAAAATATGTGCTAAAAACATCGAAATATGTAGGAAAAAAAATTTTATTTCTGTGTAAGTACAATCCATTTATAGAAAAAATACATTAAATATAATTATAAAAATATCAACATCTCCTATTTTCCACTTACGAGTTTTAATTTACCTATCGCTGATTCGACAATTTGCATACTATCATTTAAGTTCATATTTTTTATTTCTAATTTTGTAATTCTATGTACAATAAAACTAAAATTCCATGAGATGAAAATAAAATTATTTTTCAATATGTTTAATTTTGTGTAATATGTTGAGCTTTTCAAATAGCGACAGAAATTTCTAGATCCATAACTATGAAATAATTTCTTGTATTTTGAAAAGTGCTCACAATAATACTGAGCAGATGCCAATCATGTGCCCCACTTAGTATTTATTGGCTCGGGTGGTAGAGCAAAATTAGGGTATATATTTTTTTAAATTGTGTTATGACTAAGAACTTTCAAAAAAAATTTTTTTACAGTAACTATGAGAAATTTCTATCATCGATTGTCAATCTTATAAAAATATTTACTAT